GGGATGATGAAATCGATAAGATATCTGGACCTCAAATCTTTGCGCATATCACAGAGAAAATTATCCCTGTCAGAGAAATAAAGTAAAGATAGTTTTGGGCAAATCATAGTATTATTGCACGGATTTTAAAAACCCAAGCAGATATATACATAGTACTCAGGAAAACTTCTCCTTAGGTTGCAGAACGCGTCAATAAACATAGGTTTAGCAGCAGAAAACGCGTGCATGAGGCCGTAGCCTCTTAAGAGTTACACTTGTAGGTTATAAAGCTGATGAAACTGGTGGCAGTGTACATGACAGTGCTTTTATTGCTGATAAAGCAAACAGGCGTCATATACACTCACCGAAAATTTGTAAATAGTAATTCTAAAATAACTGATACAGGACAAATGATCTAGTTATATAGGTTAACACACTGATGATAAATATTTGATAAGGGACCACGAAAACACACTTTCACTGTGAATGTTTACACAAATCCTTATTATATTTGCTGAGAGTGCTCATAACCATATATATACGTAGATGTGGCCACATTTGACTCAACTAAGTATTCTAAGGATATCCCGTGCTCAAATTTCATCGTTCGAAAAAAAAGTTAATGCTAGGCCCACATCTGAACTAGGAGTCCAAGAAAAAGTCTTAATTTTATCCATCAAACATTGAGAAATTGGCTAATTTAACTTCGACGTGATAGACTTTGCGTCAGGATCATTGCTATTTATCAATTTTTTACGCAAGGTGACGTTTCTATTCAGCTGTTGTAGGAGGTGAGGTTTTAGTAGAGTTTATTATTAAGAGTATTTCTGCAGGCAACTTATGCTTTTGATTTAAAGCAACTTCATTCATGCAAAGAGTCAGAATTCATGCAGTATTCAACATGTCCTTCCGCTTCCTGTTCAACGCCCGTACGGCTTCAACTAAACCAATGAAATCGTCGCGTTCGTTGTGTAATGTTTCCATTGGCGGAAGGCGCCTACACAATCGTTTACTAAATATTGGTCAAGTGTTAGCGTATAAATAAGGTGCACACCAAATAGTCACTATACCTTGACATCTCGCGTTGGTAAGATTTTTTTGACTGTTAATTGATGAGCATTATGCCACTTTTGTGCGTTTTTTACTGCATGAAAACAGACACACAGATTCCTTTATGACAATAGCCCAAATGAGCGCTGTCTTGCAATATTTTTAATACAGAAGAGTTCCAGGATACAAAATGCCGGACACTTGTGCCAAGTGCAACAAGCCCATCACTGGTACTGTTGTGAATGGCATGGACAAAACGTGGCATCCAGAATGTTTTGTCTGTGCTGGCTGCAGGACCCAACTGTCCGGAAAGCAGTTCCACAATAAACAAGGCACGCCCTACTGCACCGATTGCCAAAAAGCCCACTTTGACCCAACGTGCAAAGTAAGCTATTTAAATTGATTTTTATATAACTGAACTGCTTTGCGTCTGCAACTATGATCACGTTTTTGTTTTTGACTTGTGAAATACTTCAAAAACAGTGAGCTTTTGTTTGGTGCAGCAAAGGGGAATGGTTGCATTTTAGGTTTCTAAACTATAGGGTGAATAAGAACTTAATATTATTTGAAATTTATGCTCCCTTACATTCCAGTAATATCTATAGCACTTTATCATCGTTTCTGTTCATTTTCTTCCACTCAGTGGAAAATTACTTATTTACGTGTAGCACGAGCTGACTTTTAAGCTTACCTTTAGTTAGAATGTTATGGACGTTTTTGCCGCCTCTTGTGCTTTTGTGGATGGTAACGTCTGTAGTAAACAAGCGAATCTACCATGCCTGTTGTGTGCAATCTTTTTAGAAATGTGGCCAAAAAATTGATTCAACCATTAAATACACTATCTACAACAACGAGACTTACCATCGGGATTGCTTTGTCTGCGCCCAATGCAAAGTGCCGCTGGAGGGAAAGAAGTTCTTCATCAAGGATGGACAAAATTACTGCGCTGACCACCAAAAATAAGCAGCATGAATTTAAGCCAATAACTGAATTTGCTTGCTTGGTTTACCATTAATTAAATTAGAACTTTTCTCTTTTCGCATTCGTGTGCAGCCATGTTTCTTGAAACTCTTAACTTAACTATTAAAAATAAATTGTTTTCGGTTTATTTTGTCTTTTGATACTCCCATGGTGTGTGCGGAATTCGAAATTGAATTTCAAACATGCACGGAGATATAAATATATATACGTTCTGAGGCAACCAGGAAAATATTTTCGTAAAATAAAAATACCTTAAATCAAAGGCCCTTCAGGAACACCTCGGGACACATCGCGTTAATTTATTTGTTGGACATTGGTGCATAACTGGCCATATTTGCAAACAAAGTGGTCTGAGGTCATCTGAATCGTGTTTCCACTTTGCTGTTCCCAAGTACAGAATGGTTAGTCTGCATATTAAATGGTTGTAATTACAGCCAAATTTAAGTTTGACAGATGATGTTGCTCAATTCGGCAGCATTACTAAACAGTTGTTACCTAGGGATGTAGTGCACAAAAATGAGTTTAGTGACTCATGCATTTTCCCTCACTTTATCCATTGGGAAAATTCAATTTTTCATGCAGAATATTATTCTTCATAACTATATTAGATAAAATTTTAAGAAATCTAAGTTATCTTACGTTTGGAAAATTTCTTGTGGCAATAGTTGTCATATGCAAATTTATGCAGTCGTGCAACTTTTTATACGAGGGTAGATTAGTCAGAACAGAAGATATTTTTCACGGTTTCTGCATTATCTTTTGTTCCGCCCACCTAAGGTCAAGGCGAATGTAAACAATGACATAAATTTCGAAAATCACTAGATGCAAAATTTCTTAAAAGTCAGATTTGTTAATTTTTTAATTCCCAAAATAGCAGCAACTATAGACACAGACAATGTTTTTTGAAGGACCTACTTTGTCCGGCCTTTTGCGAATATACCATGATAAAATGTAAAAACACCCGTTATTAATTCAAGCAGTGCACATATGCCAAGTAACTTTTTATGTTCTAGTATCCTTTCATTCGGAAAATGGATACCCCGAAAGGTTCATCCTACGAAATATTAAGGAGCGTGTCACAAAGGCTGCCGTTGCAACGGCAGAAAATAAAGATTTATTCATAAGACTGCCTTTTCTAGGAGAAGCAGCAAGCGAACTAGTAAGGCGACGTCTAAGGGCAGCAGTCCCAAGTGCCTTCCCAGATGCAAACCTACGCATATTCTTCACCAACTCCCCCCTTTTACGGATGGGGGGGGGGGGG